GATGATGCCAACCCCTCAGAGGACCTCAGATGATGCCAACCCTGAAACAACATACAGAACTACCAAATTTTGCTATAAGTTTGATTGCAACATACAATAATTGCTGTTAATCGTTTTCATAGTCTATTTGATTACGTCTTTAATTGATGTTTCCGTACATTTCTGCCATATGTACATTTACTGACATAGTCACCACTGATAAGCTACTACTAAATATATTGTAGAAACATATATTGTACAGCTGCTTTGCAACGATTTGTATCGTAAAAGGCGCTATACAAATAAACATGAATTGAATTTGCTTAGTGATAGTTGTTCATGAGTCCCTTGTTTGTCCTGAACAGTTAAACTGCCTGCTGTTCTTCAGAAAAAATCCTTCAGGTCCCACAAATTAGTTGGTTTTTCAGCATTTTTTCAGCATTGACTCTATGATTTTGAGATCCATCCTTTCACACTGAGGACAACTGATATATATATATATATATATATATATACACACATTGTGATTAGTTGTTTGACAGCACTAATATACATATATATATATATATATATATACACACACACAGTACTGTTAAAAGTTTTAGGCACTTGTGTAAAAACCTAAAATTACCTAAATACCTCAATTAAATCAACATTTGGTGTGAGCATCAGATTTTTCCCTAGGTGCACTTGCGCATAGTTTCTTTGCAGTGGCTCCCCTGTACGCTTTAGCACCAAAAGAGCTAATTTCCCCAAAAGAGCATACACGGGTGCGTCTTTGTAAAGATGATGGTGCATCTTTCCATTTCACCTATGCATTTCTGGATGCGGTCATTACCTGACACCGGATGACAGTCACGATCGTTGCCTCGTGTGTTTGGCCATTAAGCACGCTGAGGCTGCTTTCGTGGATGAGTCATGCTCTCACTGCGGGAGGATGACCATCTCGGCATTGTGGTCGAGACTGCAATACTTCAGGAGAGCTGGAGTCCCCTTTTCTATGCCCCGATCTAGCTCTTCTTCTGTTCTGCAGAAGAGGGTTACTTTGGCGAATAGACAGGTTGACCTGATTGGTTACAGATTGGTTACAGTGGGGACAACCCGCCGAGTAAACCTCCGTGGGCCCCCCATTCCTCTAGCACGCCGCAAGCTGTGAAGCTTCCAGGTGAATGTGCCGGTCCTTCTCATGGAGGACCGGCCATTTCAAGTCAAGTCAAGTCAAGTCTGCTTTATTGTCAATTCTTCCACATGTACAGCACATGCATACAGAGAATTTAAATTGCGTTACTCTCAGACCCTTGGTGCATACAGATAACACTAACAGTAGAACATATATACAGATAGATACAGATTAAATGTAAAATACAACTATACAAATATACAAATAAAGTCATGTAAAAAATAAAAATAAAGCAGCACAAGGCACATGGCAGATAGAGTGCAAACCAGTGAAGTAAACAAACAGTGCAGATATAATGATTGTAGTGCAAAGAGCTTATTCAGACTGATTAAAGTGACAAAAAGCTCAGAGAGTTCTTTATTTAAACTTTCAGAAGAGGTAGTTGAATGAGGTCAGTTCAATGCTGAATGACGTAGTGAGCAGACCAATGCTGCACAAAGTGACTGGTGCAGGTCCCAGTGTGTTAGTGGGAGGGAGGAGTGGAAGGACCTGGGGATGTGGGAGCTGGGGGGGGTCTGGGGTTCCAAGGTCGGGAGGGAGTTCAGCTTCCTGACAGCCTGATGAATGAAGCTGTCCTTCAGTCTGCTGGTCCTGGCCTGGAGACTCCGCAGTCTCCTCCCTGATGGCAGCAGACTGAAGAAGCTGTGTGTTGGGT